GGGGGAGGGGATGGGGGCATGACGCTGTGACGACTCAAAAGTAGCAGCACGCAGAGTGCATACCCCGGGTGTGAGTGTATGTTTTACTAGGTCGAACAAATTCCGAAATGTCCGTGGTATCATCTCTAAATGCGTTTTGGGAAGATGCCCAGAAAAGTGGAGATTTTCAATTACACATTATTTCGTTGTTCTATTCAAGAAATACATATAATTGCACACTGAAATGTCGATGTACTTCTTCTGAGAAGATTACACGAAATGTAAATAAATACAATGCAATAAGCAATCAACAATTTGTTACGTTTTACTGACATAATGTGCATTATTGAATTTTTATTTTGCAGGAAAATGAAAAAAAGTATTGAATGATGAGTCTTGTGACATGATTCTGAAAAAAAAATGTTTTGTGTATTTACAATCAAAGGATGGTTTTATTGTTAACGTTTTCCTATTTTTACTTAATTTTTAAAGAAAATAATATATCTTTAAAATTCTAAAATAAAATACAGTTTTTAAAAGATCCATTTAAAATAGTGTTTGGACCATGATTTAGACAGTTTTCCACGACAGTTGTGTCAAGAGAAAGCAGATTTCAGTTTCTTCAGGTCCCGGATAGCCTTGGTAAAAAAAACCCCAGGGTTATGAAAACATCGTTAGGGATTGTGAAAAGTGTTTACGCATGACTGACTGTTTTAAAACGTGTTCTAAAACTTGCCCCTCAAGTGAAGCAGTAGGCCTATGTTATTGTAAGTGTAGGTTCTGAAGGGAAAATGGTGAAATGGTATAGGTTTAACGCCCCTATCAGCACTATTAGGTTATTTAATAAGAGAGGGGGGGGGGGGGCTCCGAGCTTGACGTCCATCTCCGAAAGGACCGAGCCAAGTGGGAAATTCGTGTGAAGTGCTTTTCCCAAGGACACAACGTCGGACCGAGCTGAGGCTCGAACCCCCGAACCTAAATCTAATGGTTACGTGTCCAGTAGCCTAACCACCAGGCCACGGACGCCATTGGTTCTTAGAAAAGACATCATAATGAACGTTTCTACGACAGCCAGGAAGCTCTTGTTAGTTTAGTAGAGGTTTTACTGCGCTCGCAACTGCATAAGGTCATATGAGCGCCAAGGGAGGAGGGATGTCAACAGAGAAGTCTTTACAGGGAATCAGGCTTACTCTGCTCACCTCTCTAGCTTCAACAGCACAAAGTCTACTTCAACTATCAAGGCACACCGAAAATAGCGGGTCACAAGAGTATGACAAACATACAAAGAAGTAGAGGAAAAATGACGATAGTAAGGATTAGGAAAGAAAAAGCTGCAGCTCCCTGTTGCAGTTCAGGCACAGTTATGAGCATGACATTGATGAATCAGTCCATTTACAATTCTACTGTGCATAAGAACATGGTTAGTGCTCCCCCTTTGGGAATGGCCATAAGACACTTCAGTCAGTAGCACCGCCCCGGGGG